ATTGTGTATATTATCCGTTGTAATCCCAATAGATTCAAACGATTTTAACATACTTTTTAAAATGTTTTGTGATTTGTATTTTAGTATGTATATTTTAACAGAGCTCTTGTATTATAACCAATGACTGTGAATGTATATTTTAGACAAACTGATGACGGTGGGGAAAAACACAGGAACGTATTTGTAAGATTTTAAATGATAAACAATAAAATTGACTGGAACCCAGGAATTTCTTTTGAATTAAAAAGAAAATAATTACCAAAACTGATAAATGTTCGTGTTAAATCTAACGTGCACAATATTGCAGCCCGATTGTTTCGTTCAAGAAAGCTCCACTATTTTTCCTTCATTCTTCCTATTCTAGTATTTATGTTTTCTAATTGATTTAACATTTTTCATATTGTTGATTGAAGTTTAATATATTCACTTCAGTAATAGGATCGTATGTATAGAATCCAAAACTCTTGTTTTATTTGCTCAATTAGTTTCGTTGGCTTCTAAGAAAGCGCAAATCCGTCCTACATTTCGTAGAATATTTCTACATCTTTTGGAAATCACTCTTAGTTTTTAGAAACAATTCCTTCTAATATGTATTTTTCAGTTCTTTTTAGTCTGTTTCGATTTCTATCAGAATCGTTTTGCGGTGCTTTGGCTCATTTATTCTTAACTTCCTAACAATTCATATTTGAAAATACATCTAAATGATAACATAAACGTGAAGAACCATTATAAAATTACCAACAATAAATAAACGTACCTTTCCATATAATAATACATCTTTGGGTCGAAAACTTAGTGCAGTATTCAAAGCCAATAATTCCTCTAAATTCGGTAGAATTTTCAGCAGCCGCCTCAGATCTTCAAGTTTCACCCAGTACAACTTGTTAATGTTCAGAACTTTAATGTACTCATAAGATACATTTTCTGTTACGTAGGTGTAAATGTTCGTGTTGAAAAAATCGTAATTTCCACTAACATTAAAATTCCTGCAATCAAAAAGGTTTAAAAGCATTTACATGTTTTAACAGTCCATTACTTTTCGTATTAGAGCAAAAAACATATATTAATTAATACATTAGCTTTTATAAAACTTTTTTAGCACTAAACGTACAATGTAAGCAAACAGATGACAAAATTGAGAAACCTTTACTTACCTAACTAAAGGTATTTCGCCTAAGAAATGCGCATATTCACTGGATGTTTTGCAGAAGTTGATCACATCTGATGTGGTCAAGTAACTAAAAATATGATCCCATAGTTCTTGCGGCAGTCGAACGCCTGCTATATGAGCCATTGTATGAAAAATTGGTTCTATTTCCTATTCGCAACATGTGAAGAGCTAGAAATTGAATATTGTTCATCACAATCATTCATATAAATATAATTATATTTACAATTTTATATAATCTATCTAATACAGTGTTTCTTAAACTGTCTGTAATAAAAACTTTCAAAAAATCATTCAAGGATTCCGAGAACATTAAGTACGTCTTTTTCATAATATCCTTTGTTTCATTCATAACTCGGTTTTTGAGCTAAAAGACGAAGTGAGAAAGCTAAAAGACGAAGAATTCTTTTCTACAACAGAATTTCGAAGTGAAAAGTAGATTATTTGGTGTAAATTGGTTGCTTAAAATTGACTACTTAAGACATGGTTTCAAAAGTTTATCAACTTAATTTAATTCTTCAGGGCAAACATGGAAATGTATTGATATTTTCCGACGGCTTCGATTGCTCACCAACAATAAATAACTTTTTTAAAAAGTGTGCGATCAAATAATAGAAACATTTTGAAAAAAATAAACTTATTGAAATAACATCAGATTCATTTCTGCAGAAAAATATGGTGTTAGTAGAATTCTGGAGCAGTTTAAAAGATAATTATCCTCGTTTGTCACGTGTGTGCGAAGGAGGATTCTCAGCTTTTGTGTCAGCAAAAAATAAATACCGCAACAGAATGAATTTGAATGTTCCTGAAATGAGGAGTCAATTTTTATCCATAAAACCTAGTAGTAAACACGATAAAAAAATCAGTATCACGCAGCTCATTGAAATTTAAATCCTGTTTATATGCCTTATTTTTAAGTTATTTGAGCTTATTGTGCGTGAGTTATTATTGCTCAAGCAATGTTGCGAATGAATTTTAAATTTCTGTTTGATTCAGTTTAATTTAATTTGAAATTATTTGTATTACAAATAGACGGAATTAATGTTTACATGTTCCATTTGTAATTAATACAACCGTTATAATAAATTGTTCGTTTACTTACATTAAATTTTTTTACTATTAAATTTCAAGAAAAAATTGGAACAATAAAAGGGTTCTTTTGATTTAATATTTCAAAAAAACACTGATCTAATAAATGATTGAAAGTAATTTCACTTTTTATTGTAATCACTGAACACAAGACAGTCGTTTCTCTGATGTCTGAGATTTTTACACGTACCTTGCGTCTTAGTAGGATGGTAACCTTTCCCATTTTACTAGTTCCCTATTAATTAATAAATTATTTTTTCCCCAAAATGTAATTTATTATTTTATTTAATGTTTCGTTTAAAACCCCAGTTGTGGCCGGAGTACCTACATGTTGGGTAAATAAGACGTCGGTTAAAGTGCACTATAATTTACTCTCAATTGACGCAATAGTTTTTATTATATTGCAGTTACAATTTAAAATTGTAGTAGTTATAATTTAAAATACCGAAACGCGTCGTTTGTTAATAAATTATAGTCAACTTTAACCGACGTCTTATTTACCCAACATTTTGTTTAAACATTTGTATAAGTAACAGTGTACCTAGTCGATCCTGTTTTTGAAAGAATGAATAAAATCGATAATTAAATTATTCGAAACTAATACACCCCCAAAAATGGTTCTACTGTTTTAGGGTTCGACTGTACTCTACAGAATCACATAGATAAAATGTATTGAAATGAGACGATATTAGCGATTGCTAAAATGTTGAAAAAACTTGTATAATATTTAAAACTCGAAATACCGATTTTAATCCATAAAACCAATAATGATTCGCACTTCGGGTTTTCGGCAAGTACTTTAATATAGCAAATATGAGCATATTGCACTCGGAAAAGTCTTTTCACAGTGCAAGAGCTCGAAATGGCCATTTATTTCAACACAAAAGCTTCGAAAAATGAAGATGGTAAATCAGGGACCTCGAACCACGATTTGGCATATTTTCAAAAACATATGCTTATTTATTTACAGGAGGTTTCATAACTAGTGGACTTTATCGAGTGCATTTGTTTGTTTTGTTGTTTTGAATAGCAAACCTTGAAAGCGCATACATATATCGAAGACAATCTAGAACTATTTTACCAATAAATGCTTGCTCTTTCATATTAGCAGGGTAAAAGACATAAAACACGTTGAAAATTCGACTGGGTGAATTTAAAAAAGTACTCATATTGAGCTGTGAAGTCATTGAAAAAGGCATTCGCCATTATATGACCTAAAGACAATTGCAATGATGAGAATTTAAAAATCGCCCCGCTATGCCGATTTTTCTAAACTGATAATTTAGCGTTCTTTAAGTACCAAAGTAGAGTAATTGTGCATTAATTAAGTAGAGGAAGTGGAAAAGCAAACCGAAACTTGTTGATTCACGAGTGTAATTGTTTACAATTAAGTGGGCATTTTGGAAAAACCATCACTTTCACATTAAAGTAAATAGGGGGTTGAAAGTTTGGCGTAACATACACAAGACAATTACTGCAAACTGTGTGTAGAAGGTCCAACTGTAGATCTTCGTAAAGGTATTTATTAAAACACGCACCAAAAGCACAAGAAGTATTCAACGTTAGAGCACAAGACTTTAAATAAAAGACTGACTTTTCCACTTAACAATTTGAAACATTAGTTAGTTAGTAAGTAATTTAAGGAGCAAATAAGCGCCGCTGCATATGTGGTGTCATAAGAGCCAAAAATACGCATGGATGCAACACAGGTATACACAATGGTCATTTTTAGCCATGACCCAATTAACAAACACTGAATTGACATTCCAAATGTCGAAAACAATGAAGAAGCGCACTTACCACCTAAAGATTCCAAGAAATCAACCTTTCGCACCCTTACACGATCAGGGCAGAAACTACTGAAAAAATTAATGAACACAATAACAAAATAATCTGGTATGTTGTCAACATCAGCTGTCAGCAAGGAATTTACGAATGAATCAAATATCAATAAAACGTTGCCAGACTGTGGGTTTCTGCACTGGTACTCAGCTTTTTCTCGAGTAAAGTTCTATCGATCTTCTCCGTTTTCAGTGCTTCCCATCAGGGCCACGCCTGTAAATTAGGCGGAGACTAGAAAATTTATTCAAATTACTGTCATATTAGTATTTCCAAATTAGGGCTACAATTTCCGCTCTTTAATTTTACAGGCAACTGATGTTTTCGTTAAACAGACGATCTGCCATATTTATTTGCTGTCAGCCAATCCAAATGGTTTCTGTATATCACATGACCTGATGACAATTGCACGTCTAATGTCTGTGTCTGTGACGATCATCGTCGAGGTATCCTGTTTGTCTTTGTGATTCTTCTAATTTCTGGAGCGGATTTTCCTGCGTTTTCATGAAATTTCGGTAAGCTGCTGTGAATTGTAAGATATCCTTGAAATTGACCGCATCTGCCTGCCGAAACAACAAACCTTAGATGTTTCGTAATTTCACTTCCAAATGCTGTTTGGTGGCGCCATTGTGAATGACTTGAACTTATGTTGATAAGATTCTTTACAAATGTATATAATTTCTGAATATTTCCTATAAATCGCTTTATTTACGCAACATTTATGTTGCGTTTTAAACTAAAAGGGTTTTTAGGTGTTGTTGTGGCGTTTTGGTTCAAACCCCCAATTTGTATCAATGCAAATGAAGAAACCAATCTGTCATGCTTCTCAATGAGTTAAAACTAGTTCAGGCAACAATAAACTTGATTATTACACATTAGTCTGCATATTTTACATATTAGGCGTTAGTATGTCAAATGCAAGTATTTCCAGAAAATCCTTGTGGCCTAAAATCTTAGGAAATCACATATACAGAGTGTGTAATCAACAGATTCCGAAGGTGAACACACATGAGGATTTATTTTAATTTGCCTAAACCCAAAGTGGACATTTTTGGAAATATAAAACGTAGATTTAAAAATTGGAGAAAACCGCACATTAACATGTAACACATTTACCCTTAGGCATCTGTATGTAAAATGCAAATACTAGATCCTAGAAAAATCCTAGTCGCTTAAAATCTTAGAAAATCACATACAGAATGTGTATTCAACCCATTCCGGAGGTGAATACACATGAGGATTTATTCTAATTTGTCTGAACCCAAGGTGGAAAGGTTTTTAAATGCACCAAAAAATGGTAAAAAATCTGCTATGTAGTATAGTTATCATTATTTATTCCCATTGAAGAGGACGTTCTCACACTTATTCAAATCCTCTTCAACAAAGCACAATTTGTTAATTTTCTAGTATATTCGGTATGGATAAGTTTTTCAACTTTCAACTGAAAATACTAAAACGTCGAAAGTATAAGAAATATTAAAAAAATATAATAATATAAGTTTTAAAAAATCGAGATGCAGTAATAATTTTATAGAAATACTCGTAATATCCTTTTTGCTTCCCTTTTTTGAGAACTATCTTTCATCAGTCAGTATTCGCCAATTATTCGAAACTTTTAACGAGATAGGAGCAAAATTTTCTAACTTTAGGACGTACTCAAAGCGTAACCTCCGATACCGTTCCAAACAGTCCAACACTTTGGATCTTTTCGATAGCCCTCCTCAAGAACGTTTACTACCGTTTTGTCATAAATTCGGAACGTGGAACGAAGTGGACGCAAAAATATGAAAATGGAAAAACTTTAAACAGCTGGTTGTTTTAAATAGTATTAAGCAGATATTTCCCCCATAAGGTATTAGGTAGCGGTAGGATTACGGTCTTAGCTATCCTATGGAAAACTATTTCGCATCTCCATAACATACAGCTCTAAGTGAAGCGAAAAAATAACTACACTTTTTCCTAGAGCGATTAATATTCGACATTGTGCAATGTGTAATACGTTGTACTAAATATCTATACGATTTTAGTGAGATATTCGACTTCGGCGAACAAAAATGCGTTGTTAAGTAGACCTAATCAGATCAGACCAACCCTTTAACAAGATTGACCTTATTCTTCTACCCTGTACCATCAAGTTAATTTTATAGTATTTTAACGCAAATTTTCATTGCGCGGAACTAATTTGATTAGAAATTTTTTTAGCAGCGGAGACGCATTGAAAATGAATAAACATTCAACTTAAAATAGAAGTCTTGTTTTTATCGAACAAGAATTATTTATTTTTCGGGCGTTTTACAAACCTGTTACCCGAGTTTTTACTGCCATTTTTGCTTTTAATGTGATCTATATTCTGTTTTAGGTTGCCGAAAATTGATGCCCATGTGGTAAGTACTTTTCACTCTCAAATCTGGTCGAAGAATGTTTGACCAAAATGTTTTGAAGGTTGTTTAATTAATTAGGTGTTAATGATTATTTAGAGGCACTTGACAATGTTGAACTTGAGTAAAGTTTCGACCATCTAATGCGTTCATATGAACTAGAAGTTTATCAGTGCGACAACATCTTGGTAACCCATGTATGTCTTTAATACAGACAGCCTTGCAAGGTTTTTGATGTCTATTGTCGTAATTCCATTAGTAAAGTTACCTCATCCGAAGCAGGCATCGCTGTTAAAACCACATTTTGCAATTACTCTATGGCCGGTGACCTATATGAATAATGAAACGTTTATTGATCATATCTTACTAAATATTTTGCCTTTTTACCGCCGAGGTTGTGGATTTCCGAAGTCGAAAGCTGTTATTGCAAAATCCGGTTTTGGAATCTTTGCCCGCTTGGCTATTGCAGGAATTATTCTGTTCAATATTGACCATAATTAATTGGTGCTTTTCAGGCCATGCGGGTAATGAATTAAATGAACCAATAATTGTTTTGAACTTCAATGCGAAGATTTTAGAAGTTTTAGATGAAACTGAAAGAGTAAAATGAAATATGTTTATACAAGGACTAACCGGACTCATACTAACTTTATACTGTAGAATAAAATAAGATATGAATAATACATTTAAAAAATAATTAGTGCCTTGTACTAAGGCACACACAATTGAAATCCTGGTGAAGACCTCATTAAAAGTTGAAACGTCGGCAAATAATTAAAAAGTTACGCTGACTATTGTCCCACACCTGGTATATTTTGAACGTAACTTTACCATTGGGATACTAAACGAAATTGATACAAGAATTAATGTAAGAGGAGAAGCACCTATGTTAATAACAGACGTTTAAAAGTCTTATGTATTGAGTAGCTGGTTTGTTTAATTATATGTGTATTGATATAATCAAAGTATCCATTATTCTAACTATTTTTATCCAACTGTTCGTGTCGTCGTTAGATAAAGAGTTGCTCATATTTCACATACAAAACGTTCGGGCTTCGATGCAAAGTGCGTCTAAAATTTTTGGGAATATTGAAATAAAAACTATCTGAATCTGCAAATTTTCAAATCGAGTGAAAATAAAATAGTGGTGGTCGACAATACGAAATAAGTCCAAAGACTTGACGCAGAATGTTGTAGAAAATTACATATTCAGGGTGGGCCTTAAAAGCCTTCTCCCAGATTTTTTCACTTATCGTAGGTTATAAAACGCAGGAAACTCTCGAGCACATAATTTTTTCATGTAAAGGGGACAACTTCTTTCTGTGCTTTCAACTACAACTATATAAGTTCAACTACATAAATATACCTTCATAATAAAGGGTCAAATTTATTAAATTTCAGATTCGTAAATTGAAGCTCTTATTGTAAATTTGCAGTTTATTCAAACGCCTTTGGAATAATTAATTTTTAACTAGATGCTAGCCCATTATTATTACATTTTAGAAATTATTATTTACAGAATGTTGCTTTAATTTTAACTAATTCATTTAAAATGATTTTCATATTTTATTGACTTAATTTAAGGTTAACATAGAATAAATCTCTTTTAATTAAACTGCTCAACAAAATGAACGTTACACGGCTAAATTTGCCCTAATTTTGGAACTGGATAAATTCTGATTGCTTCAAGCTTGGTTTCTCTTTGAAGCCTTATTTAGCCCCATTGGTTTTTTGTTCGTCCATGTTTTGGTAAAATTAAGCACCTCAGATAATTTTTTTTCAGGGTGGCAAATGAAAAAAAAATTGCAAGGTTCGTCCTGCTCTTAATTAAACAACAATTAGTTGTTTTGAATTTCAACACTAAGTTTAAAGATAAACCAAACAGCTCGAAACGGTTTTCTAATTTTTCGGCCATCTCTTTGGTTTACAGGATGGTTTTGATACAATATGTGAGTTGCATGAAAATTGAGCCAAATCGGAATTGCCCTCGAAATCTGTGATTTTGGCTGACTTAACTCAAGTGAAATATACTTTCAAATATTTCGTTCATATATGATGCTACCGGGTTGCATTGATTGTTTTTCGCAAGTAAACTGTGAAGTTTCAGCTTCACCATGTACCCTAATAATCGGTTCAAAAAATATATATATCACTACAGGGTCAAAAGGTAAATTTTTTTGAGGCCACTCTGTAAATAAACAGGGTGGTCGAAACTTTTCTCGAGATTTTAGGTCTATCGTAATGTCTCTGTCGTAGAAATGAAAACAAACGTTTTTTTTTGTCCAACTGAGAGCTTGCGGAGCTTTCACCAATAATGCAATGTTTCATTTGCCACCCTGTAGAAACTTCATCTGAAGCACTATTTTTTGCAAAAAACACGCAGTAACCGACAAAGAATTGCACTAAATAACGCTTCAAACAGAAATCAAATCGCTTTCAGCAATCAGAATTTATTCAGTTCTAAAATTAGTCCTTGTTACGTATATTTTTTTGAGCAATTTAATATTCTAAAAACTGGAAGTAAAAGTAATTTAAAAATTCGTCACTATTTTCGACTATTTTAAACACTTACAAAATACTTTGATGTGCATTATGACCAATCAACCCAGACGGTTAACCTTGAGTTTTGCACAAAAAAACATATTTATAACAGAAAAATCGACGCTTTCATTATACTGCGAAAAATTGCAAATATACTTCAAAACATTTTTTTACT